ATACCCCCCACCCCCACACCTCAGGCCTATACTCCAGTTCTTGTATGCATAAATAAATAAATCTTAAAAAAAGTTTTTCTGCAACCATCCCATTGTCGCTCCCTTGTAGTTACCCCCATAGCTTGTTTAAAGTATGCAGGGCAAACAAGCCAGCAGGGAGACAGCAATTCCAACCCCCACCTTTCTCGGGGCGACACCGCCCTTTTATCCCCTCCCTTCTAGGCACAGTGCGCACACTTGCATGTGCACACGCACCCATGCTCAGGTGTGCATAATCAGGTACGTGCCTCCCACCCACATGCCTTTTACATTAACTAGATCAAGGCCGCAGGTGGTAGCCACAGAGGCCAGTAGCGCAAAAGCCTGACCAATTCACTTACCCTATAGTTGTGTTATGTACATCCCTGACTACATGGCTTACTGAAACAAAAATGAGAGAACATTTAAGTGAGCTGGTAGGTAACATAGCATTACTTGGTCACATTTCCTCATACAGAAGGAAATGGGTCCCAAAGTGCTAATTGAGGCTTAAACAGGATAATGGGAAGTATAGCTGAGTGACTTATTACATAGTTAAGCTTTGGAGCTGTTTCTAAAATGTAGTTTTCCTGATAACCACTCTATTTCACTTCCCATCTATGATACCGGCGTACTAAGAAGTGCTTTATAAGACTAAGAGCCAGTAAATTCATCTCCACAAGGGCTCAAATTTGGATAGGATAACTGATCAAAAGGAACGTCAATAAAACACTGTCCAAGCTAAACATTGGGATGTGTGTTGCATTTCGTCCTGTAACTTTTAACACAGGAGGAAACAGGTGAGGTGTCTTTCCGCCTAGCTCCTCAACCCGTCGTGCTGAGATCAATAATCATTCCCTGGCCTCCTTTCCACCTCATTACCATTCCAATTTGCCTTTATGGAATCCAACTAAGGTGTTAGGGGTTTATTTTTTTCCTCCTTAAATAAGATTAAGGGAAAAATCAGTAAGACCAGCTTATCTCAGTGCAAATGTAATTGAGAAAAAGAACATGGCAAGCCAAGTTCTGTCTGTCTGTCCTGCTCAGTAATACTTGATGTCTCACTGGGGTTCTGGGAGCCTTCTAGAAAGAACCAAGGTAGGTGGTGAGAATAGGCAGTAGGCAAGAGGCTGTCCTGAATAAGCAAAGAACATTGAGAGGATCTATTTTAGTCAGGCATAATTTAATGTAAGAGGAAGATCAGAGACTGAAGTTGCCTCAAACAGGAAGGGAACTTGGTGAGGACACGCTGTTTTATAAAAAGAAGTCACTGCTGAGCTCAGCGTGCGCCTTAGCCGCCCCCTTTCAAACAGAATCATAAAGACCTTTTCCAAAGAGCAGAGTATGCTGGCTGCAGAACATTTAGAAGATACAAGATATGGCTTTTCCATGCACAGTGTGCATACAAAGCCGCAGAAGATGCTGTGCAAGCTGCTCTCGGTTAACACTCGAGAATTTCCTCCAGTGATTAAGTCTGTCCTTACAAGACTATCGAGGCCACTCTCCTGTTTGTGACAGGGAGGTGTTTCTTTTCACAAACCATTTCCATTTGCAAAGCAGCAACAGCAGCTGCTCTTCCTGCTTGTCTGTGAGTGGTCGTCCACTCCCCCCACTTCTTTTTTTAATAAATCTGCTCTTTTGGATATGAAAAATAAAAATAAAAACATGATTAAGAGTGGTGACCTAGTGCTTTCTTACATAAAATAGTTCTATCATATAAGCTCCTTTTGTTCGACAAGGATGATGGTCCTAACAAACTGCAGTTTCTCTAAAGTAAAAAAAATCAAACATTGATTCCTTTAAAAAAAAAGTTTTAAAGGTTTTCAATGTAAAAAAATCTTAAGTACAGAACAGCACAAATAACTATAATCTTACCATCATTCATATTTTGATAAACATCTTTCCAGGCTTTTATGTTGAAAACAGACATTCTGCATCAAATTAAATTACAATGACCCATGTGTAGCGTTATAGAGATTGTAGCTCCCCAATAGCTGTTATTCCCAAACAGGACTTAACAGCGTCGGTTTTCCACTGTATGGTTCCTACATACCTGCCAGGGTACAAGTTCCAGGAAGGCAGGTACTTTGTGCATTCAAAGAACAGGTCATAGTGTGGAAAATACTGAGCTTACTTCTTCAAACTTTTACTATTATAAACATTCTTACAGAAAAGTCTTTTGTGAACAGCTCTAGTTACTTCTTTAGACTCAATTCCTAGGAAGTGAAATGTAGACAGTTTAAATAGTACACAATCAAAAAAAAGAATTAGAATGACCATGTATCATTAAACTAGATCACATCTAAAGGGACAGAAGGACAGAAAACAGACTGCCCTGGCCAAACTGGCAATGCAGTTACATTTCCTGATGCCAAACTGTGCCTTAGAGGAGACAGTAACTTATTCCCACCAGCAGAGTACAAGCTGCCAGTTTTCTGGGCTTTTAACTTGTGTGACTTCACTCCTGACACTATACTTCCTAGGTCATACTGAGTATCTACGCTGGCATTTTTGTTTCTCCCTTGAGTATACAATAATAATAAAGAAAAAAGAAAATCTTTCCCTGCTCCCTCCTGGCTTCAGGTTCCTTTCTATGGGATTGAGCTAGCTTCTTAGGGGCTGGCAAGTTTATTTTGTAAAAAGTCAATTTGTGTCTTTTAGTCTTTGAGACTAAATTACTCATCTCTGTCACTCTAGCATGAAAGTGACTACAGATTAACCTGTTAGTGAATGTGTAGCAGAAATTCAAATTTCATATAATTTCCATGTGTCACAAAATATTCTTTAAATCCTGCCCAATTTAGAAAGGTGGAAATAGATCTTAAAGTCTATGCGGGGTGGCGTGGGAGGAAAATAGGAGTCATAGTTTGCTGACCCCGGACTAATTTTATCATTTTCTTGAATTCATTTTCTTACAGTTGAAATTATATTATATACATATTCAACTATATGTGTCTCACTAATATAAGTAAAAATGAGAGAGCAAATTTAATTGCAAACATTCAACTGCTTACCATCCCTCTCAATCAGTACATCCCTAGAGGGAGCCTGAGACAGGAGAGAGGAATCCATTAATCTTGTGTGGCCTCAATTTCCACTTTTTTCTCCCAGCATCATGATTCACACAGTACAAGTTTACAGTCTGAACAGTAATTTTTTTCCCAACACTACTCCTATACAAGCCAACACCTTTCCCCGAGACTTAACTGAGTAATCTGCTCTAATGTTGAAGGACAAGCTATTAGGTTTACTGAACAGAAGTATGCTGGCTTCCAGTGGGTTACTTATAATACGCCTTTGGAAACTTTCAGGGATTTTTCCAGCAGTAATTTTTTTTTTACTTCTTAAAAATTTTATAAGTTTATTTTTTTTCTTTGAATATATATATATTTTTTTATTTTATAAGTTTATTTTTACATCATTTTGTACATTTATTTTTCCCATCTCAGTTTTAATCCCCGCGGGTTTCTCATCACCAAGTCACCCGTGTGCCATCACCATAATCCCGTGCACTCCCTCCCCTCCCCGTTTTTGATCCCATTCCCCACTCCACCCCCGCAAAATGTCTCTGGTATATAGTTGTTCATTATTTTTGTTATTTTCTCGCCTGGTCCATTATACTCCTCCAGCAGTAATTTTGATTCTGTAAAATTTTCCTATTATTGAATCCAGTTACATACGAGAGATAAATCTTCTATTATCTTTTATTCCTTAAAAATCCCTGAGGTGGGCCCTCCCTGGTGGCGCAGCGGGTTAAAGCACAGCACTAAGAAGCTTAAGCCACTTCCGCATGAGTTCGATTCCCGCCTGCCCCGGAGGAGATCCACATGGCGCGGCAGACCTCTCCTGACCTGCCCGCTGCTCCCCTCAGCAGTGTACTTCGTAAATCTGCCTGCTCTGCTCCCTGCTGTCTCTGGCGAATCCTCTCACCCTCCGCATCTCTGGCCTGTACCCCAGTTCTGTATGAATAAATAAAAAATCTTAAAAAAAGAAATCCCTGAGGTTATTGAACTAAATATCTAATGCTTTATATGTATGTGTATATATATATGTATGTGTGTATATATATATATATTTTTTATCTAATACTTGTAAGGGAAAAAAATGCAGGGCCGAGAATGCAAATTCAGCAAGCAGCAGGTATCATAGTGGCATCCAGTTAGCCAACCACATGCTCAAATAAGCTGGACTACTTTTTTTTTCTAAAAAATTATTTATTTATGCATATAGAACTGTGGTGCAGGCCAGAGGTATAGGGGTGGTGAGAGGATTCACCAAAGACAGAGTGGGGGGCAGAACAAGCAGATCGATGAAGTACCCTGCTAAGGGGAGCAGTGGGCAGGTCAAGAGAGGTCTGCCACGCCATGTGGATCACCTTGGAGGCTGGGGACTGAACATGCACTGAAGTGGCCGTGGCTCGCTTGCAGTGCTGTGCTTTAGGGAGAGCCCTAAGCTGAAATACTTCTAAGAGGCCAGTTAGTAATAAAATTTAGCATATGTTTCTAGAAAGGGACACTAAGTTCCCAAATGAAAGATCAATATTCTTCAAGGAAGATGATAGCAAATATTATCTTCATTTAAAGGAGGGAAATGAGATCCAGAGAAATGTAGGTAAATTTACTCAGGGTATAGCATGTCAAGCTAAGATTATTAAGGAAAATTTTGTGACACAAACTGCAAAGAATGTATAAGCAAGAACAGCTAGATAACATTAAAAACAACATGTAAGGGCTCTCCCTGGTGGTGCAAGGGGTTAAAGTGCAGCACTATGAAGCTATCGCAGCCACTGTAGCATGAGTTTGATCCCCCGGCCAGGAAGCTGATCCACATGGCGCAGAAGACCTCTTCTGGCCCACCCACTGCTCCTCTCAGCAGTGTATTTTAGTAGAGCTGCCTGTTCGGCTCCCTGCTGTTTCTGGTGAATCCTTTCACCACACTGCACCTCTGGCCTGTATCCCAGTTCTGTATGCATAAATAAATAAATCTTAAAAAAACAAAACAAAACACCAAAACGTAAAAATAGGGAAAAAAACACATACACTAACCCACAATGATGGGTACAGTTTCAATTTAAAATTGACCAAGTTTATTCCTAAAGAAAACAGTTACAGAATACCCTCAGGACTTCTTTACTCCAACAATTAAAACTGCATTAAAAAGCCAATGGGACAGTTTAGAGATGTGAAGGATGGTGGGAGAAACTATTCTTACTCTTTCCTTGGGTGTATGAATACTTGCCCTTTAGGCAAGAGAGACAATGTGATTAATTTCTTAATTCATGTAGTAGTGTTTTAATTCACATAGAATTCTTCTGTGAAGGTCAGAAAAGAAAACCAAAGAATTTGACTGGAGGGATTACAGATGTGAGCTAAATGGTTAGTGCATGGAACTCCAGATTTATCATAAATAACTGATGGGGTGGTGGGAAGGACACCATATTTCCCATAAATTAAATCAGAGGTATTTAAAAAGTATATAGAGATGGAAACTCCAGCCTGCCTCCTCTGAGACAACGGCAGTGGCTGAGAAGCTGCTGTGGAAGGCCCTGCTTCCCAGGGCCTCTCACATTGTGCCTGATCAATCTTTTCTTCAGGATGGGTTCCAAAGCAAAGGGTGACGAGTGATGATTTTTCCCTGTTTTTGGCTTGCTCTGGGAAAGTCTACAATAGAAAACGGCAGTCACTTACTACAAGCCCTGACTGAGTAGGAGAACGGCATCTCCACATGTCAAGTGTCAGGGTTTAACCGTGCTCGTTTGAACGGACTTTTCTCGCCGTGCCGATGGCAGAGCCCTTCTCTTTTCGGTTCCTCCACAGGCTGCACAGGGAAGTCCTGGTCTGTGGCCAGCACCTGTCGGACAGTCATGTTGACTCGAGCAGTTTTCAGGTAGCTGGCACACACCTGCCGGTCTTCTTCTGAACAGGGCTCCACCACTGAGTCTCTGGGGAGCACAGCTGGGAGAGGTGTTGCTAGGCAGCAGGGCAGGCTTTCCAGCTCTGGACTTGGCAGGACCCGAGGGACGGCATGGTTCAACAGGCGGCTGAAACCTGACATTACCATGATGTCGCCGCTGTGCATAAACATGGCGGTGGGGGCTTCATCTCTTTTGAGGCCACCCAGGAGGAAGATAGCAGACTGCCCAAAGCTACAAAAAGACAAGTCAAAAATATGCAACAGTACATGTCTGTTACTAGCCATGGTTGGGAAGGTTATGCCAGTTGTATTATTTTCTAATTTCAGTTGATATTTATTGTTCCCAAACCCTCCATTTTAAATTGTGCTAAGATCCTTCTCTGCTGGTTTATGTCTGAGGGAGCAACCATAACTTGCTACCTTAAGGTAGAACCTACAGAACTGTTGCAAAATAAAATTCAAGGCAAAGCAGTTGAAAAAGTAAATTAAAAATTTAATTTTAAGTGAATGAAAGGATAAACAGGTGGGACTACATCAAGTTTAAAGAGCTTCTTCTGTACAGCAAAAAGACATTACAAGAAACAGATATCTCACTGATTGGGAAAAAATTTTCTCATACAATACTAATGATTGAGCACAAAGATACACAAAGAACTGGTGAAACTCAACAAAATAAACAAACCCATCAAAAAATGGACAGAAGAGCTAAAAAGACACTTCTCCAAAGAGGAAATGCAGACAGCCAACAAGCATATGAAAAAATGTTCAACATCACTTGTAATAAAGGAGATGCAAATTAAAACCACAATGAGTTATCGCCTCACATTAATTAGAATGGCATATTTTAAAACAACTAGCAACAACAAATGTTGGCGAGGATGTGGAGAAAAAGGAATGCTCCTGCACTGCTGGTGGGAATGCAAACTAGTACAACCACTATGGAAACCTGTTTGGAGGTTCCTCAAACTGCTAAACATGGAGCTTCCCTAAGACCCAACAATCCCACTCTGAGGTTCTACCCCAAAGACACAAAAAAAACCTGAACCCCCATGTTTACTGCTGCTTTATTTACAATAGGAAAGACATGGAATCAACCCAAATGCCCCAAAGTAGATGACTGGATTAAAAAGATGTGGTACATATACACAATGGAATTACTCAGCAATCAAAAAAGATCAACACATGCCCTTTGCAGCAACATAGATGGAGCTGGAAAAGATCATGCTTAGGTGAAATAAGCCAGAAAGAAAGTGAAAAATACAGGATGGTTTCACTCAGTGAGCATAAAAGACCAGGGGGAAAAAATTAATAATGAACAACTATATATACCAGAGACATTTTATGGAGTGGGAAATGGGATAAAAAATGGGGGGGAGGGCATAGGACTATGGTGATGGCAGACAGGTGAATTGGTGATGGGAAGCCAACAGGGATTACAACTGAGATGGAAAGAGGCACAAAATGATGTAAAAATAAACTATAAAAATAAAAAAATTTAATTAAAAAATTATACAGGTAAGTGCCACTGGTGCATTTTTTTATGTATTTTTTTTTTAAGATTTATTTATTTGTGTATACAGAACTGGGGTACAGGCCAGAGGTGCAGGGTGAGAGGATTCACTAGAGACAGAGTGGGGAGTAGAACAGGCAGATTGACGAAGTACACTGCTAAGGGGAGCAGCGGGCGGGTCAGGAGAGGTCTGCCGCACCATGTGGATTACCTTTGGGGTGGGCAGGGTTCGAACTCATGCTGAAGTGGCTTTCGCTTCTTAGTGCTGTGCTTTAACCTGCTGCGCCACCAGGGAGGGCTCCCATTAATACATTTTTAAGATTTAAGTGTTCCAATAAAATGAGCCTTTTATTATTATGTTCTAATTTACTTTAAAGATTAAAGATTCTATTCAGTTATTCTTTTTTTCTTTTTCTTTTTTTTTAAGATTTATTTATTTGTACATACAGAACTGGGGTACAGGCCAGAGACTCAGGGGCAGTGAGAGACTTCACCAGAGACAGAGCGGGGAGCAGAACAGGCAGATCAACGAAGTACACTGCTGAGGGGAGCAGCGGGCGGGTCAGGAGAGGTCTGCCTCGCCATGTGGTCACCTCCGGGGCAGGCGGGAATCGAACTCATGCGGAAGTGGCTTTAGCTTCTCAGTGCTGTGCTTTAACCCGCTGCGCCACCAGGGAGGGCCCTCATTTTTTTTTTTTTAAGAAAAAAGGATTTATTTATACCTACAGAATTGGGGTACAGGCCAGAGGTGCAGGGGTGGTGAGAGGACTCTACAGAGTCAGAGTGGGGAGTGGAACAGGCAGGCTAAAGAAGTACACTGCCGAAGGTAGCAGCATGCAAGACAAGAGAGGTCTGCTGTGCCTGTTCAGCTACTCTGTATAAAATTAAACACGTTTAGGGAGACAAGGAGAATAAACTATTTGGGCTTCTGAATTTTTCTCTTCCCTTCCGAAAGGATGCTCACTGTGCCTTACAGCTTTCCACTTGTCTATTTCATGAACACACTGACAATACCTTTCATTACAAAAGGCAGACCCCAAACTTCTTAAGCAGAAATAGCAACTGCTATAGGTCTAGGCTAATTTTATTTGTGATTTATATTAAGGAGCCCAGAAGTGAATGATTATATACAGAGTTCCACCATTTTAAAAAGTTTAATGTTTTTATTTACTTTAGCTAAAAAATGTTTTAGGAAAAGGAATGAAGTTATAAAACATATTCCCAAAACCCTAGATCTAACTTACCTGAATGACAGCAGGGGTTTGGAGTGATCTAGTTCAGATTTGTCCACGTGGATTCCTAGTGTGGAGTCTAATCGATAGTAATTGAGGATACCAGCTTCAGCTCGGAAACCCTGAAACCCACAGGCAGCAGCTACTTGCTCTGAGAGGAAAGCCAGGTCAGAAGGAAAAGGTGTATAATGATCTGCTGAATATTTCTTTGATAAAAGTAGAAAAAATAAGAAAAATAAACAATGATCTCAGAAAACCGTGGCATAAGATTAATTTCAAGCCAACTAACATATGTAATAACATAAACATGATTTCTTCATCCATTTTGGAGGCATCTGGTAATCTAATAAAGAAGTGTCCAAACAGCCAGCACCTGCTGCAGGGCAGGCAGCCTCTGCGCCATGCGAAGTTAGACAGAGAGACTGCCCAGGGAGTCTACACAGGAGGCAATTCCTACACCTCTCTCTAGTATACTTCGATTCCAAACAGGGTAATTCTGTTAGGGTAAAGAACTAACTCAAAGCTGTCACTGAGATGTCTAGGGAAGCATGATAACTAAGTGTAATGTGGTATCCTAGAACTGAAAAACAATTTTGTTAAAAACTAAGGGGCGGCCCTCCCTGGTGCCGTAGCTGGTTAAAGCACAGCACTGAGAATCTAAAGCCTCCTCCACATGAGTTCGATTCCCGCCTGCCCTGGAGGTGACCACGTGGCATGGCAGACCTCTCCTGACCCACCCGCTGCTCTCCTCAATGTCAGGGACCGAGACCAGGACTTTGCCTCCTATGCACAAAACAACACTTGATCGGAACTTAGGGTAAACATCCTGGTTAAGAATGCAGCACACCCAAATCCCTTTTCCCACTCCTTTCTCCCTGCACCTGAGAAAGGTTTTATCTCTGGCTCCTGAGATAAGTGTCCACTCCCTTAAGATGATTACAGATCCCTCCCCTCAAACCCACTGACCTTTAAGACATTAAACCATCAAGACCACCCCCCACCCGCACTAACTGCACCGCCCTCTTTGTATACACATATATATATAGCTGCAGGACACAATAAAGCTCTCTCTCTCCCTCTCCCTCTCTCCCTCCCCCTCCCCCTCCCCCCCCCCCCCCCCCCCCCCCCCCCCCCCCCCCCCCCCCCCCCCCCCCCCCCCCCCCCCCCCCCCCCCCCCCCCCACTCTCGCACTTGTCTCCATCTTTGCCTTTTTCCTTTGGTCAACCCTGGTACCCCAATCCTCGGCCTTGCTGGTCAAGGCCCCTTACACCTCAGCACTTCGTTGATCTGCCTGTTCTGTTCCCCACTCTGTCTCTGGTGAAGCCTCTCACTGCCCCTGAGCCTCTGGCCTGCACCCCAGTTCTGTATGCACAAATAAATAAATCTTAAACAAAACAAAACAAAACAAACAAAAACCTAAGGGGCTCTGTAGTATGAACTTCACAATTTAAGATATTACTACTGACTCATTAAGACAAAGGTATTACACTAATATGTTATTTTTTTAAAGATTTATTTAATTTGTTTACACATACAAGAGTTGGGGCATAGGCCAGAGGTGCAGGGGGTGTAAGGATTCACCAGAGACAGGTAGAGCAGAACAGGCAGGTCAAGTGAAATATACTGGTGAGGGGAGCAGCGGGCAAGACAGGAGAGATTTGCTGTACCATGTGGGTCAGCTCCCTGGCTAGGGCTTGAACTCATGCTGCAGTGGCTGCCAACAGTTTCATAGTGCTGAGATGTAACCCTTTGTACCACCAGGCTTACTAATGTAAGATATTAATAATAGGGAGAATTCCCTTATATAGGAAGGCTCTGTATCATCTTCATTTTTTCCTGTAAATCTAAAACTACCCTAAAGTACAAAATTTATTAAAAAAAAAAAAAGGAACTCAAATACCATTGCCAGTTTGGTTTCAGACCCCTGAGCCTGTAACAATGCTTAGAGCTGATTTCACTGGTTTGATGCTGCTACAACATGCTCAAAACTTCTGACCTGAAACTGGCTTATACCAGGGGCCAAAGGAAGGACATTAAAATGAAAGTAATTTTCAGCACTTACCAACCTGAACGGCCTTTATTTGTTGTGCCTAAAAGTCACAAATACTCTCTTACAAAAAACCAACCAACCCAACAGGGGCATAGCTCTCCCTCACACTCCTCTGCACAGTGTTCACGAGAATGAGAGGCGGCAGTCCCCACGCAGGCAGGGGCACTCTGGCCCTGGCAGCCTGCACTCAACACTCTTCCTTGATGACTTGATGCTCCTCTCTTCTCCCTCTGCTCAAACACCCTGAAATCTGGTTAGAAATCCACATTTGTGTCACATCTCCACTAGTGTCCTATTGTATTCTAGCTGGACCAATAGTGTCACAGACAGGGGAAGAATGTATTCATTTTGGCCAGAAATGAGTTTTTAACTTCAGGGTAAGTGACACTTCTGTGAGAAGTCTCTGACGGATGACCTAGCCTCTTCAATGGGAATGTGTGTCTTATTTTTTTTCTTCTCCCTCTACTGAAATGCAAATAAAGAGCTCCGATCTAATTTTTCAAAACTAAGGGTGTGGAGAACTTTCATGCTTTCAAAGCCATTTTTAGTTTCAGCATTTAGAGCTACTGTTCTAGCACCAGCTCTGCTGGGATGAAGTAAGTTTTTGGGCTTTCAACACTCACTAAACTATGCAATAGCTTAATTCTCTTTCGCTTTCCATGTGCTACTTATTTAGTTTTTGATAATTTTTATTCATTTTAGTATTCTTTGGATATATAAGATCAACAATAAATATCAAAAACCAATAAGCTAACATTTATTGTGGTAATGCATTTAACTGCTTAGAACAATCAGACACTGTTGTGTCACTCATTATTTTGAGCAATTAATGTATTTGTTAATTACTTAGGTTGACAGAAATTATGGAGGTTTTACAAAGTAACCAATAAGTAGGAAGGTCTATACCAATATGTTTTATTTCATTTACGCTCAGATTAGTCCTTTCACTTAGTCACAACTGTCTCACTGAGACAAGAGGCAAGGCGCTGCCAATGATAAAGGAGGTATTTTCTGAAGCATAGAGGTCAGGAAAAAAGAAACTATATCAGGAAAACATGGAATTTACTAACTGTAGAGCATTCTTTCCTATCTTTCTTCAGATTTTATATAGAAGAACTTGATTTTGGAAGTTCTTCTGTGAGTTAATGGAAGATAATACCAGAAATTTAGAGAACTTTTATTTACTCTAGGCAAGTGCTAGATAGAAAACAAATGCTCAACACATTAAATAAATACAATGGAAATAAACATTATAATGGAGAACTGCTCTTGAATTCAGTGGAGAAGAATCTATGTCCCTGAAAACTATTTAGAAAAATATAACTGAAGAGCACATGAAGAAGAAATTTTCTATAGATAAGTTATTTATACCTTCTGAACTATGTCTAACAAGAGATCCTCCCAAAATGGTATAATCTGGTACTTTAAGCGTGGCCAGGAAGAAACCTAACCATGTGATCAGAAGCATAAAAATGTAAAAATAATGGAATTAAGAAAAACTGAATACCTTACTGTCCCAGTTATAGTGGTAGCCTAAGGTTACCCAGCGTAATTTCTCTAGTAAACTTCGGGGTCTTCGTTTATTTAAGTCTTTATACCTGCAGAAATTGGAGACAAAGATTTATTCATCTCAAATGACAGTAAGAGCTCTTTGTGTGGACACTACACTGGAATGTAAATTGATTTTCTAACACATAACAGTTAACTTAAATCTTGACAAGGGAAATTAAAACAAATAAATGAACTGACCATACATTTAAAAGGAAACATTTCTAATTCCTAGTTCTAGACCCTCTTGCTCAATGGGATCAATTTTAAATGCCAAGTCTCCTGCAGTTCAATAATGATAAAACAAGAATGACAGCAGAAATGTCTCCACCTGTCCATGGGAAATGGGACTAAGAGCACTATGGGTAATTGAAAATTTGGCTAATTTGGTTTGCTAAAAGTAGAGGATGATTAATCACAGCTATCACTATGTCTATAATGATGGTGTCTTCCCAGAATTGCAGGTTAGAGAAAAAAGTTTGACAAAATATAGCATACAATCAAAAATAACTGGGTTAACATGACTTCTTCAACCCTGTACAACACAGCTTAGATAATTGAGGCTTAGCTGACAATTAAGGACCATTGTAATTGATTTGGTTTCTGAAATCCCCTTGTTCAAACCACAGGAGGTTTCTGGAAAATAGAGTGGTGTCCTTTCTACAATTATATCTTGTCTGATCAAATCTATGGGATTAACTACTCCTTTTCTAAAGAGGAAACTAATTTGTTTGATTCACCTCTAGATGTCTAAAAACATGAGACGGCAAGATCTATTTTTCTTGTAATTTACATAATTAATCAATTTTTTTTTTGGTCCACGAAACACTGCTGTTTAAAGAAAGATTCTGCTGCTTATGGAGTTGATCTCCTGACAGGAGATAAATGGTATGAAATGAGGGAGGAAATTTAAGGCAGTATACCATCTAGCATTAAAATACAAGACAAGACCTTGAGGGCCACTAGAATTAAGAAAAAGTTGAGCTTAAAGCCAGAAGTCTGATAAGTTAGGACTGCAGAACAGAACTGGGAGCTGTGCATCTACCTGTTTAAACAGGTAGTGGGCAGTAAAGGCACATGTAGGAGCAGAAGCAAAGGATATTAGAGGCTCACACTGGAAGTAGCACTCATTTTGATGTCTGACAGAGTTTACAGAATAAACAGAGGCTATCTGTGTTCACAAAGTTTGCCCTTTAAGAAGGACATCATGACACAGACATACATCAAGACCAGTAGCTAAATGGAGTGGAACAAACACCAATTTGTTTAGAATAGTCGTGGAGGAGAGACCTAGCAGGTTTGATTGCTATCTTTTAAAAGGTTTGTTTACAAGTTTGGTCCTTGCAGACATCTGGAACTTGAATATCAGAACTGTGGCGCATTGTGCTGGAGCTACACAAACAACTAGATTCTGTTGAACATCTGCTTCCCTTTGGACGCCTGAAAGTTTGTATGCATCAGGTGGAGTATGCTTGAGCGACCAGCTCCTAGTAAAAACCTGGCCATCACGCTTCCCTAAGCAGACATCTCATACATGCTGCCCCAAGTTGTTGCTGGGGGAATAAAGCACATCTTGCACGACTTCCCTGGGAGATGTCCTGGAAGCTTGTACCTGCTTCCTGTAAGTTCTTCCTCTGCTGATTTTTCTCTGTATTCTTTCACATAATAAATCATATCCATGAGTACAACTAAAATGTTGAGTCCTGTGAGTAACATGGTGTATCACTGAACTGGGGTGTGGCTTTGGGTAACCCTGGCACAACAGGAGACAGACAACACTAACAATATAGGGCGGGTGTCTTGCTCCTGTGGCCTGATTTGCAGCCTGTCACTGCAGGGAGGAGAGTTGGAGAGTGGAGGAGAGGTATGTAGAAGACTTAAAAGGGGCTTGCCAAGGCTGTCTTTGGCAAAGACAACAGCAGCTGTTAAACCTGATGTGGTATCTCCTTCTGTCAGCTTTTGGGACCTGTTCAACCCCCTTGTGCAGTCCCCTCTGAGGCCTCAGCAGCCCCACTTTGCCAACCCTTTGCCCATGAAGGAAAGGGTATTTTGGGCATTTTACTGGGACTCTATTACTAGGAATATTCTGTCTTCTCTCTTTATATACACCAATTCAGTTAAAAAACTAGGAAACAAACAAACCAATGTAAGGGAAGAGATATAGTAGGTTTGGCCAGTGATGGCAACAGGCTGACTGATATACTATGAATAACCACCATCCATTATTTATATTTTCTGTGTGTAAAAACTAAGAGCACGCAAAGTTGCTATTAATACAGGTCTACCATTGTTTCTTCAGTTAAAGATACAAATAAAAGAATTTCCTGATATTCTTCTCCAGAGGACATACGCTATTTCAATAGCCTTGAGAAAGAAAAATAGTTATGATTCCTTTCTGGACTCACTGATTTGTGCTCAATGGCAACACAGATGTAGTTATAGCATACATGCCTATCCTGAAAAAGAATTCATTCTATTTATTTTCCTTTTCAAGATATTATTTGGTACCCAAATCCTTATTTAAAGTCAGTCTCAATGACAGGAGACAGAAAAGGAAGATGCTGAAGTGAGCAGTATAAACTTGGCTTCCACAACTTAATAGTGCCTTGAGTATCCAGGTGACAAGAGTTATACAGAAAGCTTTAGCCTCTTTACTTTTTGCCAAACATTAATGGTCATCAGAATCACCATCAGGGCTTGTTAAAACTCACATGACCAGGGCCAGGCCTATAAATTCTGACTCATCAGGTCTAGGGTCGGGCCTAAGAACCTGCATTTCTATTAAGTTTGCAAGTGTTACTGAAGCTGTTGGTTTGGGACCATGCTATGAGAAACACTACTCCAGCCAAAATTAAAAATCCAAATCTTTTTTAGTTGAGTAAGAACCAGACTAGTCTGAGCAAATGACTGGGCTCACTCTAAGTATTATAATGGTCTCATTTAAAGTATTAAAGTAGAAGTAAAGAGGAAAGGATTAACTTAACTTCCATACAGAGGGTATCAATGGAAAAAAGTTTTCACACACACAAAATATATACAAAGCATTTCCTAAGCTAACTAATGGAAATAAAGCTTTTACTTATATTTCCCCTTATCTTATTCTTTAAAACATTATTTTTGAATAGATAATATATTCACATAGTTTAAAAGGTACAGCCAGTATCTATTAATTCTTTAAATATATTTGATAACTGTTATGCACTGAAGAATTAAAAAGTAGGGCAAGAGTTTATGATAAAGAATGGGGGGAAGCAGGGAACTATTGTAAACTGAGTAAGGGAATCATCTCACCTAAGATGACATTAGAACAAGGAACTAAAGGGAAACATGTCCTTGGTTATCTAAAGGAAGAACTTTGCAGGCAGAAGGAAAAGCTTGTACAAAGAATCTGAGCAGGCCTGATGTGTTCAGGGATTAGCATGCAGGTTAACATGGCTAGAGAAGAATAAATGCAAAGGGCTGGTAGGAGGTGAGATGGGAGAGGTGGCTGGGGCCAGATCATCTAGGATATGGTAAAGACACTGGATTTTATTTTAAGTGTGATGTGTTTCTCTTTTCCCCTGGTTCTTGGGATGGAAATTTAAATCCACTGATTTCCTGAGGGATAGCATTGGTTTTGTCCCTCACAGCAGGACTTAAAGGTAGACCTGCGTTTAGGCTAAGGAGATGACACAGGTTGTGAGCTGGCACCTTAGGAAGACCAACACTCTGACTAGGTTGCAGTTTTGAGTCAAGTAATCATCAGCAGGAACGCAAGGAACAGTTTAGGGGCTAAAGAAGGAGTTCAATCAATCATAATCAGGTAGCAAAACCGTAAATAAAACTCTGGACACTAAGGTGTGGGACAGCTTCCTGGGAGGGCAAAGGGCTTGGAGGTCATGGAAGCTGCTTTCCAGACATGGCTCTGTCTCTCTTCATTTATAGCCTTTAAAACACAATTGTAATCATAAGTATAATCTTTCCTGACTTGTGACTCTCCTGAGTGTGACTCTCCTGAGGGGAGTCATGGGGATATTCTTGAATTTGTAAACACTTGGTTAGAAGTGTGGGTTGCCTGATATTTCTGAAACTTGTGATTTTAATGTTTGAAGCGAAGGAAGACTCACTAGGGACCATGCCCTTCACTTGTGTCTGTGCTGATTCTGACAGTTTGTATCAGAAATGAACTGTTGCAGATGAGAAACCTTAAGAGAAGAGACTCTTTTGTAGAAAATAGACTGAAGGGGGGACAAGAAAAGACCAAGGAGGCTGGCTATAAGGCTACTAAATTAATGGTGCTTTAGACTAAGCTGATGGAGATGAGATGTTGAGAAATGATTTTATTTGCCTATAGACTCTACAGTATTTCTGAGAAGGTTGGACTTAAGATTGTTTAGTGGCTGCTTTCTACCACTGGAGTTCATCAAGTTGACCGATCTGGTCTCATGCTGGTGGATGCTAAAGGTATTTCTCTTTTTTCTATTACAAATAATGCTGCTTGTAGTCTTGCGCAGGAATCCCTAGCTATACTATTCACTAACACTGCATTTTTTAAAAAAGATTTATTTATGCATACAAGAACTAGAGTGCCAGTTAGAAGTGTGTATATGTGGGGGTGGGGGGGAAAGGCAGTGAGAGGATTTACCAGAGACAGAGTAGGAAGCAGAACAGGCAGACTGACTGAAATACACTGCTGCGGGGAGCAGTGGGTAAGACAGAAAAGGTCTGTTCCACCATGTGGGTCAGCTCCTTGTCAGGGATCGAACTCAAGCCACAGTGGCTGGAACTATAGCTTGACAGTGCTGAGATACTACCCCGTGCTACTAGGGAGGACCCATTAACAATAAAATTTGAACAGTACAATTAGGTGCCCGAATTTTGTGAACAGACCTCTTTTTGATTCTAAATCCAAATATTTTTTCTTCATTTACTACTTAAAAGATTCTTCTTCCTTGACAATTAGCTAGCTACATGATTATTCCCATAATATATTATGATCTCTATTTCTGTAACTGCTGAAAACTAATTCTATGTTTAGGTCTCTGTCTTCAACTAAACTACAAATGGTGTCATGTCTGTTTTGAAACTCTAAAACAAGCAGTCTCTAACACACAGCAGAAACTCCATAGATATATGCTGAATAAACACAGATACATACCTCTTGGGTTCCTGTTTCACAGAAAAACTTAATGTTTAAATACTGCTGCTTTCCTTCTCCAAACAGTCTTGTTTTTCTGACTGGCAAACTCCTAATCATTTATCAAGACTAACTCAAATGGACAGTGTTAAAATAAGAGGATAATGAACCCAATTTTAAAAAATCATTTTATCTTCCTTGACATCTCTTCCCTGCCTAGCAGAATCATTTCTTCCTTTGGCCTCCCATAGAATTTTTTCTACACACATATGGTATTACTTTCTGAGCTCTATTACAATGATTCCTACTTATACCGAGTTTCTGTCAGAGTATTTTGCTCTGTACCTTAATGTCACACCTCGTACACAACCAACCCTTAAATACTTGTGGACTAATAAATGATGTTGAAATCAGATTAAGGTACAAACATTAATTCTCATGAATTATGACCTATCATAAATTAGCTAGTAGTATTAACTTCATCTAGAGGAGAAATAAGCTGTCAGTGTTACATATCCCTAGGACACCAGTCTTTTTAAAGTAACTCACTTTAGAAAAAAGCTGAAGCTGAATGAAAATGGATTGTGTCATGATTAATGAAGATGAACTCAATATCTAAGCCATCATAAGCAAATCTTTAAAATGGATCTCAATTTAATATAACTGTCAAAGCATCTGTCCATACATTCCTGGGGGAAAGAATATAATCATGCTGCATTTGCAAACAAGGGGAAAATAAACAAGCCAGTCACTTTCATTACGCTGTTTAAGATTAGTTGGGAAGATCTGTGATGACTCCCGCCAAATTCCTGCAATTTACTGTGAGTTAAGACTTACCTCAGGAACTCTTTGCTCTGTTCCCACAGATCGTGGGTTTCTTCTATAGTCATGTGTTTGTCCAGGTTACATACATTAGGTTTCTGGCAATATAACTTCAGGCACTGCTTTATCCAGTGCCACTGGTAACCTGGGAGGAAGGGGTTTGGGATAAAAATAAACCCTATACAAAAAAAAAAAAGGGGGAAATTCCCCATTAGTTATTCAAATAAATTATTTTTGCTGCTACCCTTATCTCACTTCTCTATTTTTTTTTTTTTAAAGATTTATTTATTCGTACAGAACTGGGGTACAGGCCAGATATGCGGAGGGTGAGAGGACTCACCAGAGACAGAGTGGGAAGCAGAACAGGCAGATCGAGGAAGTACACTGCTGAGGGGAGCAGTGGGGCGGGTCAGGAGAGGTCTGCCTCGCCATGTGGTCGCCTCCGGGGCAGGCGGGAATCGAACTCATAGGGAAGTGGCTTTAGTTTCTTAGTGCAGTGCTTTAACCCACTGCGCCACCAGGGAGGGCCTCACTTCTCTATTATTTACCTCCCATCTCCTTTTGATTATGCCTCATGGTCTCCTGACTGAAAAGCAAATATTCTCGTTCTCATCCTGCAACATTAGAGGATGGAAGTTCCTTCAAGTTAATGAAATGCTTTTGGACCTGAACATCAGACATCAGGTATTTATGCAAATATCTCTTGCTTTCTGGATTAGTGTCAAGAGAAACAAATATTCCACACCTTTTAATTGTGTCGCCTCAAAGCAAACCTTTTTTTTTTTTATTAAAAAGTTTATTTTTCAAAGCAAACCTTTTAATTTAAACTGCCAAAAGTCTTCCCTGAAATTTTCATCAGGTATAATAAATAAAGTCATGTAAGACCTCTCTATTTTATTTACTGCAGGTACAGAGAACTAGACACTGAATTTACGTAATAAATAAACCTGAAAGTTACATTCTAATGAATGTACCACTGCTTATTAATCTATAATCTCTCAAATTTCAAATTTATCCTTCTTTTTGGCTCTGTCATGCTGGGAGGGCCCTGAGGAAGATTCTGAAACTTGTGTAAGATCAAACAGTGAAGATAGAGCCAGGACATGAATCTGGGTAGCTTAGAACCAGAACCAAGGTCTTAACCACTAGTCTTCAATGCTTCCTGTCCCTTCCTGTATGTGGCAGCTCCTCAAATGTTTGATGCTATCAAGTGCACCATTTAAGTCTACTCTTCAGACTCATTGCCTGGTCTTTAGACCCATCACTCTCTGTTTACCTGTGCGAGGAAAAGTTACAGTGTACTCAGGTTCCCTCAGAACAAGCAGGGCCCAGAGAGTCTGACAGGGTCTTGTCAGCGTAAGAGGAGACTGTCATCTACTGTGTTTTAGACATTTTATTTCTATTAAATGCAGTTTATAACAGCAGGGAGGATAAAATAAAGGACACAATAACATCTAACTTAAATGATGAAATTTAAAGTGAAATCCTAGAAAACCTCAAAAAGCAAGTATAGTAACTTGACTATAGAAGACTCAGGTGGGTTTGGTAATCTTATGTGAACAATCTGTTAAGGGAAGAAGGCACAGTAGTAGAGAAACATGGTCTTGCAACAGGAGGGAGGCCTGAAAAATTGAAGGGCGGTGTTCAAGAATAAGAATACATAAAAGGCTACTGGTGACACATGCTCTCCATTTATAGAGAGTAACGCTTTCACATACAAATGTAAAACTCCAACTCTTTGTGACTTCAGTCATAAGACTCAAGTATCTTGTTCCTCAGTACAGAAAGGAAGCATGCAAGTCCTTTAGTAGGAAATACTAAATTGTTACACCTGTCTGTGTTATTAACACACACTTTGGTGGTTACAATGTATTATGAGCTGTAGCATAAATGGACCTGACCTTTACTACAATGAAAATTAATTTTTTGGGGGAAATTTCTTGTTTTCAATCCATAGTTGAAATCACAAATGGCTGTATTAACTTTATGTCCTCTGGAAAGAAAGGGGATGACAGATACTAAGATTATTTGGCCAAATAAGACATTTATCATCTAAACTTATCTAAAAAAGTTTGGGATAATTAACAGCCCCATGATCATAGAAAGATTAGTAACATTATCCACTATTCATTAGAATCTTAATTTCTCTGTCTGTAAGGTGAGCTATCCAGTATCACTAAAATTCAAAATTCTTCACTAGCCTATTAGAACTTTTGATCTCATTAACTGTAACTCTCTTTTCAAAGGTTTAGCCTTGATGACAGCAACAATTTTGTCATTTGAGAATATAGGACTTTTGCGACTGATCATTATGAATTATTCCATCATTCGAAGTGGTATTTCAGACAGCAGGTATTATGGTAGGGGCTCCAAGTCAGTGTCTTTAAATTTTTTTATTTGTGGCTGGTATGTTATTTTCTGTGATATAAGGTAGATACTACAGATTCGTATTCTATCTTTTGGGAATGCTAAATGGAAATTTTAGATGAGGCAGAATTTAGGAATGGAACATTTCTGTGTGTTTAGTTTTGTCCATTTATTTGCTTATTGCTCCTCCTTTGAAATCTGACAGATCGTCAAGTGACTTCACCTTCGGAGGTGAGCTGCACTCACCGGGATAGCCTTCAAGTCCGTAGGCTCGCCACTTGCTGACTGGCTGAAGTCCTGCTCTATGTGCATCATGCTCACTCACGGAGGACACACTTAGCTGAGATCTGAACACCTGGCAGGAAGGAAACATAAGTCAGATGGCTAGAGCTATTTACAGGTTAACTCAGATATCCTCTACCTCGAAGAACATTTTTGGTATGGGAGAAAGAAATTTTAAGTCTGGGCTGGGATCTTGAACTTAACTCTACTACTTTATTTTAAAGATTTATTTGTGCATACTGAACTGGGGTACAGGCCAGAGGTGCAAGGGAGGATTCACCAGAGACGGAGTGGAGAGCACTGAAATACATCACTGAGGGAGTGAGCGGGTCAGGAGAGGTCTGCCACATCGTGTGGGTCACTTCCCTGGCTGGGGATTGAACTCATGCTGCACTGGCTGCTTCATGGTGCTATGCTTTAATTGGTTACGCCACCAGGGAGGGCCTTCTATTACTTTCTAGATATAAGACTTTCAGGTAAGCCACTTAACCCTTTAGACTATATCCTCATCAATATACTAACAGTTACATAAAACTAAATGGTAATGAGAAGCAGGCTAATTTGGGGCTTCAACATGATTGTTTCCTGATCCTACACCTTTGTGATTTTTGAGGACTCTTGATCATGAAAGGTGTTTGGTGTACAAGAATACTCCAGCCAGTTAAGGCTAACAATGTTTCTGAAGCATATATACAGTTGGTGTTTATGCAGATCTAATAAGGAATACAAAACTGGGGAGGATGAGAGAATGGAAGGAGAGCTCTAATCAGACAGAAGAAATGTTTCAATAAAACACTGGGAATCCTGCTTGATAAAAATAATTACATATATATGTATTTTAGACAAAACTTTACATTGAAACTTAGACTTTTGCCTTTGTTAATTACTTAGGAAGCTTATAAAAAATTCTTTGCATGTAAGAGAGCATATGGTAACTTATTTAATTGGTTAAAAGATCCAACATGTCACCACTAAAGGACATGTAGATAAAGAAACTTTATTCTGTTATAAATAATAAACATAAGATATGGCTTTCCTTAGAAAACAAATATTTTCTTCCAGAAAGATAAAATCTTTTATCCTCACAACTCTGCCAGATAAATACCTGTAAGTGGTTGGTGTATAACCACATAATAAAATGTCTACTTGGACCTTTCTTAAGAGTTCTGACCAGCTAACTTCTTCAGGTAGCTATGGGCTGATAAAATGCTTTTATTTTAAGTATTCTGTAATCATTTCTTGGCGTGACCATACTTAATACTGTACTGCAATTCTACAGCATCCTCAGATCTAAAGTTTGTGAATCTGTCTTATTACATATTATGCTGATCCAAACCACTGAGTTTATTTATTTATTTTTATTTTACAAAAGTTCAAACCACTGAGTTTTTAAAAGATTTTACTGTTCCTTTCTTTATGCACTACCAACGATCATTTTCTCCAATGTGCTTCCCGAATTTGCTATTTTGAATCTGCTCCGAGTTGGGGAACAAATATCCAAGTTTTTATGTACTTAATAGGTAAAGCATTTACTGACTTGCCTTCAAGGTACTGTGCTACAAAATGTCTCCTAGGGATTGTTTCCACTGTAAATGTATATATTATGGTAAATTATGGGTAAATGGCTCTGAATGGGGAGGCTCTGGGATGAGAAAACGATGATATTACAACTACAGACTTATTCTGACAACGCTTACCATTTGCTAACAAAAGTTAGCTGGGTTAGAAGGTGCTAAGAAGCTGAGTTCTAGACCAATACGGTGTTACCATAGCATTTCATTTTATTTAGAGCTGTTATTAAGCTTGAAAAGGATGCCGCATGCAACAATTCGTGGACAACATGAAGAAGAAATGAAGAGATCAAGGTTAAAGATACTGTAAAGAAAATCAGCATTACACTGCACATGCAGTTCTCCCTGGGCCCCCTCTCCCCCCACGCCACTTCTGTATTAATTTCTTAATTTCCTTGGGGAAAGGTGGAAATAATGGATGGCGCTTGGGTTCATTTGCCCTATGCGGTCCACTCTGAGAGGCTATCTCATCAGAATCTCTTTTGTCCCCTATCTAAAAGGCCCAGAGAAAACAAGGGCCAGTTTTAAGGGCAGCGGCTATCTAATAACATCAGCCCCTTTCAATTCTGAGATCACCCAGGGAGTTTTTCACAAACTGCAGAAGGCTACACATCTCACGGGTTTTAACACAAGTCGAAGTATAAATTGCTCAAGGACAAGTAACGGAAAGACAAAACACCAATTCAAAGGCATTTCTGGCCCGAGGTAGCAAAATGGTCGCGTGAAGAAATCGGCAGCAAAGCTCTTCGTCGCAAATTTTGATGCTTCATGGGCAGTTCAACTTCGCGTCCGTTGAGGGCGAGAACCATTCACAGCAATCAGTCTGTAAGCGAAAAGACGCGAGGAGGACACTGAAGTCCCTCCAGGAAGCGAGGCGAGGCGAGACGAGGCGAGGCGACGGGGAGAAGCGCGCCGTTCGTCCCTCCGTACCTTGAGGGCACCGGGCCCGGTGCCGCAGGTTGCTTGAGCCGCCGAGAAGTCGATGACGCCTCCCAGGTCTGCGGTCCCGGGGCGGCTCTGCCGGTAGAAGCGGAAAAGCTTCCGAAAGGCGTCCTCTCCGGGTTCTGCCGCCAGCGTCGCCATAGAGCCCACGGCCGCCGCCATCTTCCCCATTTCGCCGCCTCCGTTCTTCTGACCCGGAAGCAGATTCTCTTGCTCCGGGATCCGGCAGGTTCTTCCGGGGTCGCGATCACGGGTCACGAAGGTGGGTCAGCCTGAAAATGGCGGCTTCTGCGGTGAGAGGCGCTCTGGCGCTGCGTACTGGCATGGGCCGGCACGTTGCTTTTGTCAGAAGAATTCCCTGGACCGCTAACGCAAGTGAGTGATGCATGGTCTGTACTTTTGAGGTCCAAGCACTTCTCTTAAGCTCTGCTTGCTGCGGAGCAGTCAGTGAGCGTGCTTGGAGCAGGGGGCTGAATTAGCTCCCGAGCAAGCCAGTGAGCGCAGAGAAACTTTGCTTCCAGTTATATCCCTCCAGGGACAGTCCTTGTGTTAAGCATTCAAGATCATCTGCCCTTCGCAGTGATTTGGTGGGATGGGTTTTTATAATCTTGAAGGTTTAAGGTTCTGCAGGGATCCGTTTGACTGTAGTGTGCAGATAGATGCAGAGTGGCAAGATTGAAGGCGAGGAGACGAGCTGAAGGCAGTTTTTGTAATTTAGCTCAGAAATGAATACCTGCGTGGTATCCGGGAGGGTCAGATCTATTTATATAGCTTTAAAAAATGAACAACCTTTCGTGAATGAGAAGTGGAATGACGTTTAAGTTGATGTTAGTGAATTCTGTTAAAATTAGGAGTAGTTCGGAAGAGGAATAGGAGTAAAGATAGAATTTGTTGGGTTTAAAAAACCTATAAGGTCTCTCTGGCTGTTATACCGAAGAGATTGTATATTATGATTGAGATGCCCCCAAGTCATCTGTTAGTGTTAAGAATTCCAACTGTGGGCTCTCCCTGGTGGCGCAGGGGTTAAAGCACAGCATTTAAGCTCTAGGAAGCCACTGAAGCACAGAGTTCGATGCCCACCAGGGGGTTGACCCATATGGTGTGGCAGACCTCCTAAACTGCCCGCTGCTCCCCTCAGCAGTGTTTTTCAGTACACCTGCCTGTTCTGCTCCCCACTTTGTCTCTGGTGAATCCTCTCACCCACCACACCTCTGGCCTGTACCCCAGTTCTGTAAGCATAAATACATAAATCTTAAAAAAAAAAAAATCCAACTGTGCCATTTATTAGCTGGGTAATCTGAATAACTGAAGGTAATTTGGGGAAAGGGCCTCAGCCTTATCTTCAACAAATGGAGTCAATAATATCTATATCAAGTTTGATTCGGTCAAATGAGTTTGTGTAGACTTTTTAGACATGCTAGATGCAGATAAGGTACTCAAGTAATGGTTATTTTCATGATTACTAAAATCAGAGCTATGGGAGATGTCAGGAGTAATGAACTCTCACCAACATTGAGTTTTGTTAGCTGAAGTTTTAAGATAGTGTTCTCTGCCCTCCCTGGTGGTGCAGTGGGTTAAAACCCAACACTGTGAAGCTGTCCCTGGCCACTGCAGCAGTAGTTCTATCCCCTGCCAGGGAGCTGGCAGACCTTTCTTCTCTCGCCTGCTGCTCTCTTCAGCAGTGTGTTTCAGTAGATATGCTTGTTCTGCTCCCCACTCTGACTCTGGTGAATCCTTTTACCCCCGCACCTCTGGCCTATACCCCAGTTCTTGTATGCCTAAATAAGTCAATCTTCAAATATTCTCTATATGCTTACCAATGTCTAAAATTCCATTCTCACTTTTGTAAATATTTGTTTCAGGTCAGCACCCTTAATTTTTAAAAATTTATTTATGTATACAAGAACTGGGGTACAGGCCAGAGGTGCAGGGGGTGGGAGAGGATTCACCAGAAATGGAATGGGGAGCAGAACAGACAGAGCTACTGAAATACACTGCTGAGGGGAGCAGCAGGCAAGACAGTAGAGGTCAGCTGTGCCATGTGGATCTCCTCACTGGCCAGGTATCAAATTCGTGCTGCAGTGGCTGGGGACAGCTTTATAGTGCTGGGACTTAACTCCTTGTGCCACCAAAGAGCGCCCTCAGCCTCCTTAAAATGAAAGAATGGGATGAGTTACACTCCTCTTAGATTTTGTGGCCCAGGAGTGAGTAGCAAGAAGAAAAATAGATTGACTTGTGCCCCCATCTTCCCAATTTGTAGTGGGTAGAGACTTGGTCTGTGGCAATGCTGAGTGGTTTCATTAGCATCTTCTGGATGCAGGTTTTCAGACCATAATGGGCTGTTTAAAAGCCTGTCTCTGGTGAATCCTCTCAACTCCCACACCTCTGGCCTGTACTCCACTTCTTACATGCATAAATCAATCTTTAAAAAAAAAAAACCTTAAAGAGTCTACATAGCATATAACTGAAAGTTTCTCAGTTCATTCAACTATTTAAGGAGTATCTAGTACATGATAGGTATTATTGGTGTTTGCAGCTGTTTTTCTTAACAATTGTAAGTGATATGGGAAAAGGGCATTTTTGGGGAAATGAGTGTTTTCTAGGAATTTTATTACCTGGTTTAAAATGTGTCTGACACTATTTTATTTATTCTGCAGTAACGTGTTCTCTGAGGTTCTGATCTTGATAGATGGATTTGACCAACCGTGTAGAATTCTTCAGAAATTTAGGCCCTGTTACTTATTGAAGGATTACAGGACATACATTTCTCCATTCAGCTAATATTGCCCTCTTGTGTTATCAGTCACTGTAGACACAGTGGAACCAACATTCAGGCTGCTTATGGTGTAATTGTGGTGCTAAAGTGTAGGTAAAGACTTATAACAAATACAGGTAGTTGTTGATCAAATGAGGCAATTTGGAATAAGTAGGGGAATAAGCAGGTAATATGAAATGCATATCAGCAAAAGTGCAAGCACTGTAGTTCAAAAGAGAAAAGATCATGTTTTTTGATCATCAGGATTATATATTATTCATTATGGAGACTCTTAAAAATGGCTAATATATTGTCTTGTATAGCAGAAGGTGCCCAATAAAATAATAAAGATGTATTTGGCCTGGGTACCTAGTATGAAGCTATTCAGTATTTTGGTGGGGGATGAAGATGACGGTCAACTCAGCAGTTTATCAATGCATGTCTCCATTCCCTCAAATCTGGTGTGTTGCAGTTTTAGAGTCAACATCATAGCTGTTTTCTAAATCTTAAGGCTCCAAGGAACTGCAAAGTAGCTTCTGTTCACAATAAATTTGGGAACTTTAGAAACTTTTGGTTTTTGCAGTCTAGAGAATACAAAATACATTAACTACTTTTAATATTTTCCCTTCCCGTACAGTTGAGCTGAGAGAACATTTTGCACAATTTGGTCATGTAAGAAAATGCTCTCTACCTTTTGTGAGTATTATTTAAAAAAGCATTCATGTTAACGGCAAATTTTTAATTTTTTGTTCATTAGAACATGTCAACTTAGATGGGTTTCTAATGGAAAGTTGTTTGGTATCTTTATTATATTATAATAAAATTATGGGTGATACTGATACCGTATCCTAGGTATTTGTTATTGTTAAATAAATTAACACAAGCTTTTTGGCTTAAGACAACTTATATATATCAGTGCTGCCTTTTGTGTGAGGGTAAATAACAAAATTATTTGAGAAATCTACTAGGTAAGGGTATTTTTTAATATTTTTTTCCCTTCTTTTTCATTTAGGAGCATGTAATGGCAACAGTGGTAGTAATAAGGGTGATTGTCTCATAAATTACCAAAGTGCATCTAGGTATTTTTGGCTAAATTTTCTAGTTTGTAGATGTGAAGAAATTATAAACAGACTACTTCCTTATGCTATCTAAATTTCTCTTGACTTGCTGCAAGATTTGTATATAGAATGAAACAGAGCTAGATTACCCATATTTTACTTCTTGAATGGCAGCAGAAAATAGAAACAGGGATTAATCCTTGGTTAGCTAGGAGGGTGCGTGTGTATTAAAGCAAGGCTTTTGGTATGGTCAAGTGTGTATTACCCTGTTCTGGCAGAAGGAAAATATGGTAGTTTGCTTTGGAGCTCGGAGTTACTGATTTTTCTCCTAAATTTCTAATTTTTAGGACAAAGACACTGGCTTCCACAGAGGTATGGGCTGGATTCAGTTTTCTTCAGAAGAAGAACTTCATAATGCACTACAACAGGAAAATCATGTTATTGATGGAGTAAAGGTACATGTTGTTCTGTATCCTATTTATGAGCTTTCGGTATATTGATTTAAATAGGTCAGAACATGGAGTGACAGGGACATTGGGTGATTTGTGGTGGCAGTAGTCTGCCTGATTCTATAAGGTCTAAAGAAGGAATACTTTCATTTTGCTAAATGCAAGAGTGGGATCTTATACTTATGATCTAGGCAGAACTGGATTGAAATCCTATTTTTTGTACTTACTATGTGACCTTGGATCAGATGATTTACAATTTTTAATTGCTGTTCAGAGGGTCTTAAGGACAAGAAACAAATAACATCCTCTTGTCTTAATGGTACTGACTCACTAATAGTCTGTTTTAAAGTACCACTTTTCAGATGAATGTTTCTGTGGACATTGCCTTTCCTTATAGTGCTTATTTGATTTTTTCAGCTCCATGTTCAAGCCCAAAGACCAAAAGTTTTGCAAGGGGATCAAACATCTGATGAAGAGAAAGATTTTTGAGACTATTAGCTGGCTATTAAATAAACAAAATGGAAATTTTTGTCTGAATGTTTTTATTTGAAACAAATAGTTGCACCAAGCAGAGCTTATTTTCCCCACTCCAAATTAAAACAGTGCGATGGGGCAAACATTTGGCAGGTTAGTTCCAATATATGATCATCCTACTCACTGTAGTTGGGTAACTTCATTCATAAGTAATTGTTCTTACACAAAATATTAACCCCAAAGTACTAATGTCACACAAAAGGAAATGGTTTTAATTTTGTGTGTGGGGAGCATGTTCTATAAATGCCAAAAGGTGGGGGGCAGGGCGGGGGGAGAGACAAACACAACCCACTCTTTAAAAAAACTAAATAGTTCAAAGTAGAATTTACCATCTTCCCCCTTTCTCCCATAATAAAAAGTAGCGCTAGGTCTGACACCTAGATTTGGTTTTTATCCTGGTGATTTACAAAGTGTTTCCCCGTATGACTTGCATCATGAGGGTTTGAATAATAGTTCATTACTGTGAAGAGAGGTGTCTCTTACTCCTTTCTCCTCTTCTTGCCTTCATGCTCGTGCTCCTTGGGGCGGCTGCTGTCTGAGGGTCTTTTAGAGCCACCGTGCTGTTTGGCTTCTTCCAAAAACTTGTCCAAACCAAAAGGATCTTCCTCAAACTGAACAGGTCCTTCTCGGCCTCTCTGTCTACGATCTGAACCAGAAAACTCCTTATCAGGAACAAATCTAGGGGAAAAGAGAAAGAACTTTAATAACTACATTGTTTTCACTAGTGTAAACACTGAAACTAAGTTTTCTGCAGTTGTACCTGTTGGTCTTTATTCTGGCTTCTAGGTCATCACCATACATGTCCTTGTCCAGATTTTTGCTGGGTCTGTAAATATTCTGGGCCATGTCTTTACCACCTCTCCACGCTTGATCATAGACATTATAAATTTCATCTTCTCCACCAGCGAAACCACTATCCATACCCTGTGAAAAAGATTGTAAATGAAAATGTGTGTAACTATTTATTAAATGTTCAATCATATTTATGTGAAGAATATTCACTTTTACACTCAAAAAATATCTTTAAGCAACAACAAAAAATTCATGAGATACTTTTGTAGAACATAGACTGTATTTTAAAAATAAAAGGCTGACACACCAGATCCAAGTTTCTTCCTAATTTCTTTCATTTTCTACTGGTGTCTCAAAAATCTTAGTGCACTGTAAAGTCAAAATCAGAGCTGTTTCATCTTAACTTATTCTGAGTTACAACTTCGTTGTTTTCTGTCCTCATGCTAGTGTATGTTAGGCTGCTCTACATCTATGATACATAGATTTTCTTTTTCCTGAGGATCAGTATTCATGCCAACACTTGAAATATGCTTATTCTAAACTGCTTGTACCTTGGTCTGGTTGAAAAGCCTCTGGTCATACTGAACTTCGTTGGAAGTCCGAGGATTGGGCACACCAAGAGCGATGACTTCACTGATATCTCGGTTTTCATTTCTCTGAAGTTTTGACCTGTTTTGAAACATGATGCTGCTAATTGAAAACTCTCCACAAACAGATGAATTTCAACTTACAATGTATAATCTAAGCAATAAGGGAACAGTATGCTCTTTAACATTTGTGAACATACACTCCACGTGATGTGTTATTGGGGGATTTTGGATATGTGATTATTAGATAAGCCTTCCTGTTAGCAAAAAAGAATGGCCAAGAGTCTCATTCTTGATATAACATTTTTAATATAAGCTATCAGTGTGTGCTGAGGTAAGAAATTGCTGTATGTTCTATATTTGCTATTACTATATGAGGTATGGGGGACTTGATACAAATTAGATATATAAATTATTGTCAATAAACTAGAAACAGTTCTTTCAGCTACTTGCAATTAGTTATTTTGTCCTACTAGAATTTGATGTACACATGTCCATGATTAGATTGCTCTGTATGATGAATGTCTGTCGTCTATGTCATTTACCATGATACATGGTAAATGTCATTTGTTTTGCTAGAAGCTGAGGACTTAAGTGATTTCTACAATCTGATTTTATTTGATTACAAGTATAGAGCTTGTAATCAATGCTGTCCAAGCCCATCTATAGAGCTATTTTGATTTTTACAGGGTAGGAATTTACAACACGAGTATGATTAACTACACACATTTACATTTTATTTCTCTCTTTTATACTGTATATCCATCCACAACCCTAAATTCAGATTTCTTGCTTCTCCATGAGAGATGAAATGTCATTAAAGACAAATAATTTTATTCATGTTTAAGATATGAATTAAAAAACGCTTTTCATCAGTGCATAAGATGATGAAAGTATAGAAAACTGCTCATTTTGAAAGAAAAATTTTTATACATGCATTGAACCCTAAGTAAGCACCCCATTTCCATATTTACAGTGTTTACTCAACTTTTCAACAACTTCAGTTCTCCTTTGGTAAACTAGACTTCTATAATCTCTACCTTATTTCAAATCCCCATAATTTACCTGTCTTTTTTTTAAAAATCAGGTTGTACTTATCAAGAGTGATGTGTTAATATGCCCAATCATTTTATACGACAGCTCTTTCAAAATTTTAAGTTAAACTATTTATGAGATGAGGCAGATTTTCACTACTTATGAAACATGCTTTTGTCCCCAGTGTACTTAGTACAGTATTAAGCATATGAAAGGATCTCAAAAAAAAAACCATGGAAGCTTATTTCCGGTCCAGAAGAATAGGAACACAAATTTTGTCTCACCATCTGAAGTAAGAATAGTCCTATCATCCACTGCTCTCTCATCACAAACATCATATGAACTTGCTTTTCTATATCCATATACTTCTCACTTTTGGTTGATACTACAAGGTGATGCAATATTACTTCTAGGCAGTCAACTATTTACTTTTTTGGCAGTCTATTATTCTAAGACAAAATAAGTAGCAAAGTGCAAGAAAATAAGTGACTTATTAAGTCACCAAACAAAAGAGAAAAAGTGAGAACAACACTGGCATTAGTACTAAATCTCCTCACTGAATGGTTTACACAGACCACTCCTCACAATTTCTGTTTTAGAGAGCACCCACCTCTTATCTGGAGCTGCCCTGGAGAGATTCCGGTCATGCTGTCTTTCTTTTCGCCTGTCATGTCGGATTTCATCCCTCTCACGTGCTTCCCCATCCTCTGTGTGGACAGAATTAAATATTACATCACTATTACTAATGAAAACATTCTAACCTTAGAAAATTCTATAAACTTCTATATAGTCACATTCAGTCCATTTAACCCTAATTATAATTCATTTAAATACAATAGTACCAGTTTAATTTGTATTACAGAATCATGAACACAGTTATATAGTGTGGAGGGCTAAGTGGACTGGTGTTTTTGACTTACTTTGAAACGCATCAAAGTAGCAATGGATGGATAGAGATGGCTAGATACATGGTAAAGCACTTTTAGCAATGCTAAATGTTAAACTACTGTATTATCTACACAGTGGAGGTATGAGAGTTCACTGTACAAAGCTTTCAACTTTCCATGTGTTAAAATTTTCATTATAAAATACAGGGAAATTTAAAAAAAAGGAAGATTTAAAAAATAATAATAAAATAAAATACAGGGAAAATAAATTATGCATATGTTTACCCTTATATTTTTCAAAGTTTGTCTCTGAATAAAGAACATTTTGCTTGTGTTCTACAGATAGAAGATCTCTACTGCATTTATGTCCAAAGGGAAAATAGTTAAGAGCATCACTATGGAACTAGCCTGTCTGGATTCAAGTCATATTTCTACGATATGACCATGTGTGGGTAACTTGACTTGTTTTCTATGACAGATCGGCTCTGTGATTTGTAACCTGTGCAGATAACTCAGTCACTGTGAGAGGAGTAGCCAGTGTCCTACTCTGTACAATAGTGACACTAACAGGACTGCTGCAGGGATTCTATGAGATGACACATGCAAAGTTCTCAGAGTGGTGCCTGCCATAACAAATTCTAGTTTTTGTTAATATTTGATTAAGTCTTTCTTAAAGTTTTAGTTAATTTCTCAAGAATCACTTTTTTTCCTTACTACTTTTGAGAACTTAGATTCAGGGAAATTTTACTTCTAATTACCTTCAGAGGCTAGGTGTACAATGGACAGGTATTTGTATCTTGCTTCATTAAATCATTTACATACTATTCAAAGAAATGGATTGTTACTTTTTTTTTTTTAAAGATTTATTTATGCATACAGAACTGGGTTCAGGCCAGAGGTGCAGGGGTGGTGAGAGGATTCACCAGAGACAGAATGGGAGGCAAAAAGGGCAGATGAGTGAAGTACACTGCTGAGGGGAGCAGCGGGCAAGAAAGGGGAGGTCTGTTGCACCATGTGGATCACCTCCAGGACCGGGGATCGAACTCGTACTGAAGCAACTGCGGCCAGCTTGCAGTGTTGCGTCCTACCCATTGTGCCACCAGGGCCAGAGGTGCAGACATGGTGAGAGGATTCAACAGAGACAGAGTAGGGGGCAGAATAGGCAGATCGATGAAGTATACTGCTGAAGGGAGCAGTGGGCAGGTCAGGAGAGGTCTGCTGTGTCATGTGGATCACCTCCGGGGCTGGGGATTGAACTTCCTTGCACTAAAGTGGTCACGGCTCACTTGCAGTGCTGCGCTTTAACCTGCTGCACCACCAAGGAGGGCCCAGGATTGTTACTTATAATCCTGCTTACCTCTCCACTGTTGAAGGCTAAACTATAACCAATTGTACCATGTTCACAACTAAATTTCTATGTTCTTTTCATTCTAAACCTTTTCCTCTTGTAGGAATTCTTGTAGTCTTCTCAGTATTAGTAGGTGACAAATCAATCTTCCCCAACTCAACTGCTCAGGTAAAAAATTCAGAGGTCTTCCTTGACTCCTTTTTTTCTCTCCTGCTTCTACCTGAATCATAAGTTAATTTTTTGTGCTCTATCTCTAAAATGTTTACAGAATCTGACCACGTTTTCACACTCTTTCACTACCATCTGATCTGGATCATTGCAATAGTCTTCCAAATAATTTCCCTGC